AAATTATGATTGTGTTATATATCTAGGGTTACTTTATCCACAAAAATCTTGTGAAATATAATCTTATCATACAGAATAGTTTAATCATTAAGTAGTATATACATATACACGATGAAACCACTTTAAATTACTAAATTATATATCGCTTTTTTTTAATCATACCGATCGATAATGTAAAACATGTTTTACATTGCCAGAGATTATTTAAAGATAGATATGATTTTAAAAAAATTGAAGGTAAGATGCATTAAACACTACATATATATTGTGTTACATGGGGGTATGATTGTTAACAATGCTTAATTCTTATTGATATGCTTTATAGTGATTATTATGCTCTATCATGACCTTATTAAACATTCATGTTATGGATAGATAAATAATGATCGCTATGTTTATTATTTACTTAAACACATAAACATTGGTACAAGGAGACACCAAACAGATATGCGCCACATAAGTCATTCGATTTGTGTAAGGGCTGGGATACTGCTTGGATGCCCAAACAGAAGCAGATGGTTTCCTTAGTGGGCCAAGCTCGGAGCCTTTAACCTAAAGGTCTAATCCATAAGGCAGTGGAGCAATGTCAGAAGATTCGGTCCCATGGTAGCCGGTGACAAACGATTGGTTCATATGCTATTTGTTCCTTTAGGATACTGAAGCCCATGTGCACCATTGGTTTGGAATCAGGGTTTTCCAACTCCAACTAGGTTGGTCATCCATATCCACGAATCCGGTTAAAGACCTGGACATTCGCTTTTCGTCCTTTCAACTTCATAAACATATGCAAGATACTCAATATCCGTTGACCGGATACCATCAGCATCAGCCTATTATGGAAGAGAACAAATCAGCTCCCAGCTGAAGAGGAAATTCGGAAGTGGATAGGACATACATTACGGAAATCACCAAACTGCATCACGAGGCAAGCGCTAACTTGGGATCCTGTATGGAAACGGAAAAGTGGAATGTACTACACCGAGAATTGGGAGGAGACATGAAAAGGATGAATAACAACTGGAAAGGATTGTCCAGGACAGGGTTGAATGGAGAACGCTGGTGGGTGGCATATGCTCTTAGACGGGCTGTAACAGGTTTAATTAAGTGAGTAAGGTCTATTATGAAATTGAACAAAAATGGAGGAAAAAGACAGCCTAGCCGGACACGAATTCAAGATAACAGGTTCCAAGCACTACAACATCTACTCAAAGAACAGGAAACTACTGTGAAGAACAGCTGGAAAGAGATCAAGAAGCACTAACTCTAACGTGTCATGTTTCTGAACTACAAGGAACATCATCATAGGGAATGGATCTCTATCGAAACCTCGGACACGATTCAAAGAAGAAAGAACAAGATGACAGCAATTAACAACAGTCGGACAAAGCAGAGGAGTCAAGGCACACGTCGAATACACAGAAGCCGACAGGAGAGTGAAGAGGAGCATTGGAGCTGACAAGTGGAAATAAGTAAAAGATCTAGAAACGACAGTGGAAAAAGCTGTAAGAGAAGGAAATATGACACAACGAAGAAGCTGGTAGAGAAATATAGTAAACCAGAGAAACCGGTCAAAGATAAACAAGGAAAACAAATCACTGAAACTCAAGAAAAGCGGAACAGGTGAGTAGAGCACTTTAGTAGACGCCAAACTTGGAGATCACCAGGCCGGATTTCAGAAGGATCGGTCGTGCACAGATCACATTACAACTGAGAAAATCGAAGCTTTCACCAGGCGCTCAACTTTGAGATGAAAAGTTGGCCTTTCCATGTATCAACCAAATAGTAACTCTGAGTGATTATTAAACAACCAAAATGTAACTCATCAGCATACAACAATTCCATTGATTAAGAAAAAGCAACCTATAACGTGAGTAGCAAACCTTTTGGAATCTTCCTTGACAATATGGAGTACTTGAAGATCTTTGTCAATACAGAATGAGTGCGAGGAACTACACTACGACAGTGGCTTCCACTGCAATAGACCTCATCATTTACAAGAGGAAAAGCAATACCCTAAAATACAACATAGATTATGAACACGATCGATGACAAAGCTCTGGTAGAAATTCTTACCAGCATTGAAAAGCGAGGAGGAACTGGTGCATATGTCAGGGCAAAAATCCTCAAAGCAACGAGAACTCGACAACAACTGAAGATAATTTGGAACTCAAAACAACTATCGTCTAACACCAAATTCAAAATTCGGATACTTACTTTAAAAGATTTATTGTAGTGAGTTTAAACTTGGTGAACTGCTACAAGCATCATCAAAAATGTACCGATATTTATAAACAGGTGTCCACGTAAGATACCCCAGATCCGTTGATCAGAAACCATCAGCAATAACGTGCCGTGTCAGAGAACAAAATAGCTGCTAGTATAGGTGGAAACGAGAAAAAGCCTCTAGACGTTGATAAGGCACAACATACTAGAATCGTAAAACTATCAAAAGGCAAGAAATAGATTGGAATCTTCAAGGCAAGATGAAAAGAGGTAAACCAAAAAACATAAAGCGAATGCAATTAGGAGCAAACATGATCAGGAAAAGGACTTGGTGACAGCTAGAAAAGAGCCTATAGCAAAGTTTCTCGCGATCTCTAGCAGACTTATGTCCAAACAGGTTTAACAGGTTAAAATAAGTGTTCGCAGATGTCACGCGATATGCTTCAGAATAGGCCGTAATTATGCAAAGGAACTCACTATGTATCCCTCCTCAGCTCTTGAGTTTCGAAAATATTTTATACTATCTATGCATTATTCTTTCTTTTCGAATTGTTTTTCATATTTAACTTCATCTACTACTTTTCTTGCCAATTTCATTTCTGTTTATATAGTGCAACAGCTTGAACTGATGTTTATGCGTTAAGTTAGACATAACCTAAGACCGACCAGCTTCTTTCTTATTGATCATCTCAGAATATGTAAACTGGACACAATCCAATGTTCGAATCACAGACAATTATGTCAACTAATCAAAAACATGAGATCCCTTAAAAGAAATTAAACTTCGTGGAAGATAAGGAGAATTTTTTCTTTACTGTAACAAATCTCAAGTTCTAACACTGAACAACAACTACAGACTGTCGTCATCGTGGTGATTGGAATCAAAAGTTCTTGACACGGCTCAGATTGGAAAATCGACCAGCCGACATGAACTTAAGTCGCGTCTTTGACAACCAACTTGTAGTCAATCGGGACTCGACACCTACTACACACTTAATTACTGCACATAAATCAACAAAAATTAATACCAGAGACATTTTATCTCAGTAAGCAAATAGAAATTTACCGATCAGGCTACCATCAGTCATATTTTATGTTAGGTTTTGTGATATTTATACTCGATTTGTCAAGCCGAGGTGGACGAGGCAGGCTTCGAACATGTCAGTTCGTGACTGAATACCGAGTACAGAGACTATTAAAAGACAAGTTTGCTTGATTTTCATTAAATGTCGATCAGTAATACGGAAATGTAATAAAGCTTATTGAGCATTCTATAGAGGTCGTAAAGTATCTACTACTATAATTGGGTCTTTATTTTAAACGTGAAGAGAAGTTGTCTGATTTCACAGGTAAGTAATTAAACTTAGGAATTAAAATCAAAGACTAGAATATCATATTTGACGAACTAGATAAATGTAAACTAAACACGCATTCGTTACGTATACAAACAAGTTCATTGTATACAGATTTATTATTGGAAAACTGTCTTAAATGTTTCCGATTACTGCTTATACTCTTACTACCTCTACCGTTATGGGATTTGAATCGACAACTGCATCTCTGTGCTGTGCTGTGATTGACTGATCACAAATCATTAATTTAACTTATTTTAACAAACATTGGTAGGCCCTATGATTGTGAAGAAATAGAGTAAAACACCCTAGGCAGTGAAAATATGATGCTATCTAATATTACAACAGTATGCCGTGTTATCTGTTAATGTTCTTTGTCGATAGTCAACCGTATCATGTCGGTTGCAAAACCTGTTAGTGTGTAATCAGTGACACCAGACAAATTTAACTACCATTGTACTTACTCAAAATAACAATCGGATTTGCGATTTTAAAAATACAGAGGTTTAATGCATAATAAGCTTGATACATAATTATGAGAAACGAGCTACAAAGAATTGCCTGAAACTGTTTTCCTAGTATAATCTCATGCTGAGTAAAAAAGCGGTTAGTACTGCAAAAAAATGGTAACATAGCCTGCAGATTATTTGGAAATGTGGGGAATTCCAATATTCTCTTAACAAATTACTGAAGTCCTAAGAAAATTAAGGTTTTGAAACCAAAGATGTGAGTAAAACGAAAAATACTAGAGATAATAGGAATGTGTATGACAGTGCAGTTGAACAATTCACAAGAATACCAAGAACATATACATCTGACCTACTGCAAATATCTTTCAGTTAGTAGAATGCTGAATGAAGGTGTGTGTTCGGGCACAGAGACGATAATGCAATTGGTGTCACCAACTTCGGTGGCTTGGATATGTTCTACGAATGTCGTCCCAGAGAATTCCACGTCGTGCATTATTTGCCGACTCTGGGGCCGGTTGGGAGAAGCGGAGAGGTGGTCAGTGCATGACATGGTGTCGTGGGATGAAAGAACGCCGCAAATGGCTGGCTTGTGTTGGTCCCCCACGACTCCCTGATTGGGGTCTCAGAAATGGTGCGACAGAGTGGCTAGAGACGTTATCAGATATGGCTCAAAATAGAAGTGGCGATCTTGCTGTAAACTTTTACTTTCTTCATAAAAACTGGTTGCTTCTTCCTTAACTGAAAGATCTCTTCTGATTGTACGTTTCTGCTTCCCCGATTATTATTACACTACCTTACACTAATCTGTTCGTTATTGTTCTCTTTTTTTACGCTCCTTACTTTTCCTCTCTTCAAATTCACATTGTTTTTTGTGACGCATATACATTTGGTGCACCATTTTACCAACTTTAATGTGTTCAAATAAATAAATTATATCTATCTTATGAGTAAAAGGATAATTTGTCCGGCCACAAATCATGCTCACCACCACAACGTATACCATGTAAATTTTTCAGACAACATACAAAAATATGCGAAAGTAAGATTCATATTCAGAGACATACTTTCATTGGTTACTCTTCTGTAGGCAAAAAAAGTAGTTCATGGGACTAATACTACATAGAAACTACATAACAGCTAATCTAATAGTTAACACGGTTTGCCCTACGAGGTTGAATATATTGAAAAACAAGCTGCCGGTAAATTATATATACGACCTGTCCACTCACGGTACCGTTCCACTAAAATTATAACTGTAATGAACGATATTCAGGACAAATGAGAAACACCTCTACTGCAATTATGATCTTGTCTATCACAACTCTAATATAAGTATCGAATAGAAAACGAGATTCCTAGTAATCAGTTTCCAACGTTTATACAAAATGCAAGTGCTCACCCCGTTCGAGTCATCACAACCAAGTTGCCAGCAAACCAGACACGAATCTAACGTTATACAAACCCACACAACCATACATTAGGATCACACTCGGCTACCAACAGCTATCGTGAACAGTGAAAGTAGTCCAACACGAACACACTAGCTGGAAACGAGTCTAACCGTACCACACCGAACTACTCCCAGTTGTCTCATGCGATGTGAGTATGATGTTTGTACACTAGACCGGCATAGATGCCTGGCACTCATCACGAGACAGGTGAGAACCGCAGACAGACCCCTGTGAGAATGCTGGAGTTAGGAACTATGTGGCTAAAAGCGTTATCCCATGTGCGTCCAAAGCACAAACAGTTCAACATACCCAAACAGGAATCAGTACAAACACACTGTGAAAAAGCTGAAGAAGGTAATCTTATTAATGTTTATTTAGGGCGATTGATCACATCAACCGCAAAACTGTAACATTCTGAAAACACTCATGTACAAAGCTTTGCAATTAGCTCTCAAGCAGCACAGCCAAATCCAGTCCTCGAACTGCTTTTAGGAGAAACTAGATTACAAAGCTGAAGTTTAATAGGGAGGGATGAGTATGGGTAAGTAGAGGCTTGGACTAAAAGCCTTTGAGGAAGTAAGAGTTGACAAGGAAGAATATTATTAATCCAACAGTCTGTTTCCATTTTCTTTTAGGAATTCACTTCAAGGAAGGGAACTCCTGGTCGTTGTAAATTGCTGGAGGTGGAATGTGATCGTTAATAGGCAGAACACGGCCGAAACCACGACCTCGCCCGTCACTCCTCATCTGACCTCTTCCTCGACCCCCACGTTCACTTCTTGGTCCCGCACCGCGTGTAACACCACGCCCACGATCGAACCCTCTGCTTTCAAATCCTCGCCCACCTCTTCTACGGCTTCCAAAGTTGTCAGCGAAAGAAAAATCAATGTCGATCGACTGATGCTCCTATATCGAATCTAGTGTAAATACATAAAAACGAAACATACCTCAGGCTCGTTTTCCTTTTCCTCCACCTCGTAGATATCCTCGTGGACCTCCTGTATTTTTCTGTGAGCCACCATGTTTGCAAACACATCTTTGCCATCATTAGCTTTGCGTAGACCTTTGCTGTTCAGTAAGATGGCTGGTTTGGAAGACTGGCGCATGGCCTTGTATTCTTCCAATGTGTAGCTTTTCGGTTCTTCCTCAACTGTGGCTTCTGCGTTGGCAACCACACCCTCCTCATTCTCCGCTGTGGCATGCTCTGACTGGTCCTCGACCTCGTTACGATCGTCTGCGAAACGCACAACTTGCTCCGAGTCACCACTCTCAGGCATTGTTTGACCATCAACATCCTGAGCATTCCAATTTCCATCTCTTCGACCATATTGTCTTGGGCCCCTACAGAATAAAAGGCTATTGTTAACCGAGTTATGTAAGCCTAAACATGTATCAGACTGTGTTTCCGCATTGCATAGGACAGGGATAACAGTTCATCATTATAAAATTATTTGAGTAAAAACCACTTACTGACGATCTGGACCATCCTGATTGTCGAAGTCTCGGTTCGAATTGAATGGCATCCCACGACCTCGACCAAACATTGCTCTTCCTCTACCTCTCCCACGTCCTCTAGGCTCGAAACTTGGCCCTCTTGTAAGTAATCACTGAGATCACAACAAGCTTACCTGGTAGCATTCAAATCACTCACTGAATCTTGAGGTGCTTCTGTCGGAGCCATTCGAGGCCCTTGTCCTCTGCCTACACGCATCCCTCGAGGTGTTCCTCTACCTGAACCACGACCACGCACAAAGGCACTAATTGATTCATCTGTCCCCTTTGCGGATGTGATTTGTACGTCTTCAGGTGGCACTGGTGGCGGCTCTGTGACGTTGGTGGTTTTCGACACTCGAGAGCCAACTTAAATAGCTAATATTACACATTTGCTTACCTTTCGGAGCTGCAGTCTCAACCTTCACCTCATTCTTAGTTGTTGTGTCGACCTTTGCAGGTGCCACATGTTGCTGTTGCACATGTGACTTATCCTTTTTAGTCTTTTCACTTCGTTTACTCTGCAACTTGGATAGCAGGATATCCGGGTCTTCACTATTCAGAGTGTCGTCCAGGAACAGTGAGAACCTGCTCTTCACTTCCACAGAGTACTGATAGGCGTGGTCAACACCAGCCATAACTAAAAAACACACTGTGAGCGGACAGTCAACATGATCATCGCAGAGGAACGGAAATGGTGTATCCTCATCCAGCAAAACACAGCGATCACTAGTCAAAGACAATTGAACGGTAATAGGCGGTCGGTACTATTTGTTGATGGTTCTTACGGTCCTCATTAACTAAGAAGTGATTTCAGACGAGAAAATTGCGGGATGCACTATCAGAATTCAACAGTCAATGTGCGGTGGCCCACAAGAGTTAGTATGCACTCGATGCAATGGCCGATTGCATGCTGACTATAATCCCTCAATAATTAATCTATATGTGAGGTCTGTATAGCTTGGTACCGTTTCCTTAAGTGTTTAGGTTGACATCGTAGGGTACCAGCACTCCCAAGCTGAAAAAGATTTAGGAGGCTGGTACCCTGAGATTTTAAGTCTTACGCTAACTGTGACAAAAATGCCTTTCTAGCAAACCCTACACTGGTAATATTGAAGCGCATTTTTGGCCAGTTCGACGGTAGAACATTCCACATAATCTTCAACAGTTTTATTCGTCCTCATTTAGGATGCGGAAGCATAGAATTTCCTTCCTCACTCCAAAAGGATAAGGACCCTCTGGAGCGTATCCAATGGCGAGCCACGAAATCAGTTCGGGGACTCAAATTCAGGCCTTATGAAGAGCGCCTTCAATCACTAAACCTTTACTCACCAGAGTAGAGGCGTCTTCGAGGTGACCTTCTAATGGCCTACAGTGTCCTTAACACTTCTGGACATCCTCTTAAACACCTACTCAAGTTTAGCTCCAACACAAACTCAAGGGGTAGTGCCCATAAACTAGAGGCACAACACAGGAGAATGGACTTTAGACACAAATTCTACTCCTTAAGAGTTTACAAATGCTGAGCTAGTTCAAGAGACTTCTCAGGAGTACTTTAAAAGGCAACTTGACCTGTTCTTAAGGAATAGGGATAATATCTTACTATGATTTACCAATTTTTCCTCTATTATCGTTAACATGCATGGAGTCCTGCCTAGAGGTATTGGTGATCCACTGCTACATGACACGGAAGCTTGTTAAGCGAAAGCTTCTTCTATTCCGTCCACAACCATTTGAACCATTTGAACATTCAGAGTGAAACGACCAAAATGAATGACTCATTGTGGTGGCGAACACTAACAAGCTTTTCTCAGTCACTGCTGTCTTGCAGATTATTTTTGTGGTCTTCAGTCACGTGACCGAACCCGTTCGACCACAAAATGATCACCATCATTCCGCAATTGACGTTGTCTCTAAACGAATGAGGATGAAAGGGTGAAGCTACAAATATTGAGTTCTGACCATGAAATGGTTTGTTTTTGAGATGACGAACATTCGTTACGTTTGTCTTCGAGATAGACTATTCCCTAGAGCAACGTCTGAATTGGCAAGTTGTGATAGTACTAATGTGAAATTGCCACATAAGTAATTAGCTGCGACGATAGTATTGGACGAGTGGATACGCCATCACCAAATCCTAGATACCAGATTGCTGTATAAATAAGGGGACATATGGGTGGTGGGCGGTTTCCGTCATGGTTGAACAACCTTCCCGTTGGGTGTGGATAGGTACTATGCATTGATTCTACGCTGACTGGCTGAAAAACAGTGCGTATCAGTGTTCCTTAGGACACTCTCAGAGCCAGGAATACTTGTTTTACACGTAAGTGACTCGTCTAGTATTTTCCATCATCATCAGTCTTCCTACATACCGATAATACCATCACATGGAAAGAGATACTAGGAGAACGAGGTACCGCGGGGCTATAGAAAGACCCAAATTAACTGACGAAATGGCCTGACGCTTAACAAAGCTGAATCATACGGAAGAATACGAGGTGACCTGACCGCAGTCTTCACATCACTTAACGATAACCTCACACCTGATATACCCTCATTTTCTTACCTTCCACAACTGTAGATTTGCCGCACACAGGAGAGGCCATGAACTCAGGACCAAATTCTTCCAGCTGACTACCGACGTTCAAACCGAGCTATAAATGCGTGAAGCATTCCGTATCAACGCGTGCCGACAACACCTTCCATAAATTTACTCGGAAGGAGACTGCACAAACTGAGAGACCTTGATAGTCACGACTACCACGAGCCTTTCCAAGACAAAACGAATCATTGCGAAATGTAATGAACTAATTTGGTAGACTTCTACAACGTGAAAAGTTTCACCGCACACGCATTCGTGAACTTACTTCCCACCTTTCATCATCTCCTTCAGGTGAATAGCAATTGCAATCATCTCGTGAATGCAGACTACTTGGTTGGTGTCCGCGCGACTATCGTAACCAGTGGTTGGAGACTTTGGGTGACATGGCTCAGAATCGACCACAACCAAGTAGGTGTATACATTTCGTCTTCCCTTAAACCGTGAGATCAAACTTACTTTATATCTTCCTTTCAACGAACTCATTCTTTCTCCCCGTATCATATTTTCATACACAACCCTTTTTTATTTATTACTACCACTGAAGTAATTGCTTATATGAATTTGTTGTTCATGTTGTTGTGCTAATGAGGTACGGTATCTTGGCCGATGCATGCATGTGCCTGGTCCTGCGTTGTAGCCGACTGAATGTGAATCACTGTACAGCTAACGGCCGTCGCAAGCATGAGAAAATTCTGGGCAATGTGGAGAGCATCCCAACAACCTTGTAATCCTGACGCGCACAACGCCTATTCGATGAACATAACAGAGATGGTTGGCCACAATACAGCTACCTCATAGTGCAAAGTCCATACAAGACCGAGTCAGGCGACCATTAGTGTGGTTCGTATCTGTCAAGCATGAGTTGCCAGGCTCAACATCCTTGGTCTACTGGAGTACGAGCCGAACACAAGTGCTCACCCCGTTCGAGTCATCACAACCAAGTTGCCAGCAAACCAGACACGAATCTAACGTTATACAAACCCACACAACCATACATTAGGATCACACTCGGCTACCAACAGCTATCGTGAACAGTGAAAGTAGTCCAACACGAACACACTAGCTGGAAACGAGTCTAACCGTACCACACCGAACTACTCCCAGTTGTCTCATGCGATGTGAGTATGATGTTTGTACACTAGACCGGCATAGATGCCTGGCACTCATCACGAGACAGGTGAGAACCGCAGACAGACCCCTGTGAGAATGCTGGAGTTAGGAACTATGTGGCTAAAAGCGTTATCCCATGTGCGTCCAAAGCACAAACAGTTCAACATACCCAAACAGGAATCAGTACAAACACACTGTGAAAAAGCTGAAGAAGGTAATCTTATTAATGTTTATTTAGGGCGATTGATCACATCAACCGCAAAACTGTAACATTCTGAAAACACTCATGTACAAAGCTTTGCAATTAGCTCTCAAGCAGCACAGCCAAATCCAGTCCTCGAACTGCTTTTAGGAGAAACTAGATTACAAAGCTGAAGTTTAATAGGGAGGGATGAGTATGGGTAAGTAGAGGCTTGGACTAAAAGCCTTTGAGGAAGTAAGAGTTGACAAGGAAGAATATTATTAATCCAACAGTCTGTTTCCATTTTCTTTTAGGAATTCACTTCAAGGAAGAGAACTCCTGGTCTTTGTGGTTCGTATTTATCTAGCATGAGTTGCGAGGTTCAATATCCTTAGTCTACTGTAATATATTTCCTTACTTCTTTCGCTTTCGGCGTTGTATTCATTTCTAATTTTGTACAATCCTTTGTATTTTTCCACCGGTTTTTTGCATTCTTTTGATGTCTTTTCATTGAAGTTGTCTTCATTTTTCATGGTTTGTGTTTCGTTATATTTTAATATATTTCATATTCTGTAGGTATATTCTTTTAATATGCCTATTATTTTCATTACTTTTTTATTTCTTTTTTCTATTTTCATACGTTATCAATTTTGTTTGTAAAGTTTATGTTACTTAATAAAATTAAGTAGTTTGATGTTTTAACAGTTTTTAATTCCGTCCTTCGCAAGTTGTGGCTGTACATTTTTCCGTAGGACTCCACCGTTGTTATCTTAGATATCATGTGTCAGTATCATGTTTGTGATATTGTTGTTTCATAATTTGTCTTGAGATTCTGTCACAATAACCAGATTGTTTACATAATTTAGAAACAGCAGCTTCTATAACTTAGTCGGGTTTTTATTAATTTATCTCAGTAGCTTCGATGTAATTGATTTTTGATTAGTCAGTCTATGAAATTTTCTCGAGTATGAATGTTAGCTGTATAGGATTGGCTCCTGTCAGTTCATTAAGGACATCCTGGTTAGGGTCCGAGTGATGATGGAAGTCAATGTTTTGAAAAATTAATAGACATGGGTCATTACAGATGTCAATAACAATCAATCAGGAGTTTTAACTGAACTGTATCTATTATAAATCATTCTTGTTAACTTTTCTCCCCTTGATTATACTCTAACTTTTACTGCTTGTTTTCTTCAGTCTTACCGCTTCATTTCTATTATTATTACTACTATTATTATGATTGATATTATTATTATTATTATTATCATTTAATGGTTGAATTCATCAGTCAATTAAAGCTATACCACCATGGAAAACCTGGAAGCACTGGACGGCTGTTTCATCCTAGTACGGGGCTCCTCAATAATGCGCATCCATGACTCATGAATTCAACTATTAAATTACTAAATTCTCCACAATACTCTTTTCTATTATTATTATTATTAATTATTAATATTATTATTATTATTATTATTATTATTATTATTATTAATTATTAACGACTTAATTCAGTGTTATACGTTTGGTACATCGTGGCACCGATCCTACAATCAAGTTTATTTACGGTTAATATTGTCAAGCCTCTTAATTAACTGGGCTAATAGATAGTGTTATTTGAACAGTAACGATTCGTCTATTGCTTTGTATTATTATTATTATTACCATGTCTGTATATACATGTAGGCTTGATCACATGTGACAGCCTACGTACGTCTCTCTCTCGCTCGATCGGTCGGTCGGTCGCCTAAATATCACTCGATCAATCTTTCGTTTACCATATATATATGTATATATATATATATATATATATATATATATATATATATATATATATATATATATATATATATATATATATATATATATATATATATATATATATATATGCTTGAATCTTATTGATTGATTTGCCGCTGTATTTGTTTACTCCTGCGTATTAGTATTTCTGCTTAAATTCACTTGAT